TTATTTACCTGGGGGATTGTCAAACTAATACTGAAATCTAATATTCAACTGGTGTCTAGAGAATTGTACTGCATTTAAACTTGACGAACGTGTTATCTTTTAAAAAAAACTCTAATCCCTTGTCATTTGAATGCATTAGTTTTGATAAGACAAAATATTTAAGAGACATAAAGCATTAATTAAATCATGAATAGCGTTTATTTTTGCAGGATTACTAATGAAAAAGTAGGGAAAACACCATTTAAAGTGCAGAGTATATTAACGATGTGTTTGCCAGTTATCAGGGTAGTTAAAATGCTGCCTATATGGAAAAGCTGAAGACTATATTATGCACATTTTACTCAGCTAATATTCAGAAATTCTAATAACAAATGTAAGAATTAACATCACTCTTTCAGAGTATACATTGTGCAAATTTCATAAAATAATAATGATCTACTTTATTTCACAAAACATTACTTATAATACAGATTGGAATTCTCAGCATTTGCCACAATATTGCATCTGATTTACTCAAAAATATAAATAAAATTAACCACAGGAATTTGTTCACATTTACGGTATAAAGTCAAAAATATTCGAAGTACAAAATGAGAATAAATATAATAATAATATTAATAACAGTCGGTATTTTCAAATAGTATTCTCGACTCAGTTTGAAAATTTTGGAATGTTATAGATTATTGAGTGTAATGTTCTCTGCATCGGTGACACAGAGGTTAGGATGCTCGCCGATCATGCACACGGACCGAAGTTCGATCCCCGACCACACACGCACTGCTTTACGTCGCTAAGGCAGTAATAGGACTGGCAAAGAGGAGGGCTAGCAACCCCATCCTATAAAAATAAATACTGCTACAGAAACAGAAGGAATACAAAAAAAACTTCTGTTGATTCAGTATCGTGAGCGGAAAAACAAAAAATAACAGTTATAACACAGCTTAAGTGATATTTAATACTTTTGAGAAAATGAACAAAAAATACAAGATAATTGGGAGAATAATAAATATAAAAAACAATAACAATATGGTTGGTGGAATAAGGATGGAAAAAATGTTTGCTTTACTAGTGCAAATAAGGTTAGTTAGTTCATGCCTGACACTATTTTCATCACATAAAGTACGTGCCCTGAAATATGGTATAGTGGAATTTTTATACTTAGTTGTACGTGCATAAAGTCCTCTGAAAAGACTTCTGGTTTTACCTGAGGAGACAGAAGGTTGGACATGCGAGTAGAGTGGGTGCTCACAGTCCGACAAAATTCCTTTAGCAAATTTGTTGCCTGACATCAAGTGCCTATCGATGACAATGTGAACAATATGGCCCAATGGGATACCACACGCCCTACTGACAGTCTTCAGAGTTCTACAAAGTACTACAATGACTTTTAAGCAATCCAGAGAAGAATGAGGTGAACAGTTAAGAAGAATAGGTAAGATGCTAGAGTTGACAAACTGTAAAAGGAAGGATTGAGTTATTCCTAAGTGCTTCAACTTCTTAATGTAAAAAGTCAGACGGGATAATTTTTTAAAAATTGCTAAGACATAGGAAGACCAGATGAGAAGAAAGAATTAGTCGAAGGTAATTAACGTCAGACTTCATTTCTGTGTCACTATCATCAATTTACAACGTTACTAGGAATTAACAGCTTTATTTAACTTCCTTTTACATTAAAAACTGAAAATAACAGCCTGACATTTGAAAGGACCATTAAACGAAGACTCGTGATAGAAAGCTGTTCATCTTAGTACCATCTATCTGGGTGTTAACAGACATTGAAATATTTAGATCGTTCGCATACTTAACAAAGTTCATTTCATCAGAGTGAGGCAAATCATGCAAGAAGAAAGAAAACAGAAAAGGAGAAATAACAGCGCCTTGAGGGACACCAGATTCAGTAAGCAATGCAGTGGATGACTTCCCCTAACATACGGTGTACTACTTTCTTCCTGAGAAATAAGAATGCAGTCATTTGACAACCCAAGCTCATTTAACAAAATATCCCTAGGTACTGAGTCGAAAACGGATGTATAATTTAGGAAGGTGCAGCAAACAAATTTACCCCCTCTTGTCTAAACTGGAGACAGTGTTATGACTGCAGCTGCATTTAAAATACTTCTACTATGTTTGTAGGCAAACTGCTTGGGATCGTTGAAGGCTCTGAGTGAAAGTAATTTAACTACAGGAAATTAATTGATGTCAGAATAATACTCACTCGTACTACGGTAAACAAGCATATTAATAGTAAAATTTGAAAAAGCCCAAAAAAATTATTTGTTTTTTAAAAACCAACAAATGCTATTTTTCTCGTAGTTTTCTTAAGGTTGAGACATGTACACGATAACTAAACAAATGGATCTATCCGGTCAAATCTTGATCACAGTTCGTATGAATTGGGTCTTTTATTTCCTTCACGTTCCCAGTGGGACATAGAGCTTCAAGCTAGAGACCTCAAGTTTCGATAGCAGTGGTGTTTATTTTTACAGCTTGGGGTTGCTAGCCTCATGCCCAACCTTCCCTCCTTATCAGTCTTATTACTGGCTTAGCGAGGTAAACGATGATCGAACCTCGGACCACATGCGCGGTCGGCGAACATTCTACCGTTCTGCCACCGACACATAGATAAGTGATGCACAATATATATTACACTATAACACTATATAATCTTTAAATGGCTTGTAATGTACAAGAAAGCTTTCAATAGCAACACTTCGTACTGTTGTAACTGAAAGTCAGAAGGGCACAAGATAATGTGTGCTCAGGTTTCCAAGAAATCCATGTTTTCCCATTCTGTTTAACCACTCCAAACAAAAGAAAGAATAGCTTTGAAGCACTTTCATACAATCAGTTCTTTAGATAAATTTTGATAAAGAAATAAAGACTAAATTTTTTTGAACAGATGCTCTAAGGTGTTCATTTCTTCTGATTTTGATTCCTCTCTCACAAGGTTTGTCCGATTTATATCGTATCGCATACCAAGCCACCCTTTTATTTTATAGACACAATTAAATAGACAATCCTAAGGATTTGATGTTCTCTAAGGACAAGGTTGCTTTGCAGTGTATCTGCTGTTTTAAACAAAACTCTGATGTTGTGTTTATTAAGCACCCTTATGTGCTACACTCTATCATTTCTGACCTATATGGAATGGCAAGTGTTGAGGTCCATGTTTACTGAATACATTTTCAACCGTACTTAATGTCAGTGTTGATTTCGTTGATGAAGTTGTTTTCCTTGAGAGTCTCAGTAATGCTTGATATTTCTTCTTCTTTTTCTTTCTCATCTGTTATCAGAGAGTGTGCTCCTCTAAGAACAATTGAGACAACTAGTACTTTTGCGCTGACTGGTTGTGACGACTTAAAATCGTATTACTTATTGGAGTGGGTTTTCTTCCTGCATCCTGTGCGTCGGTGGCACAGTGGTTAGGACACTCGCCGACCATGCACATGGTCCGGGATTCGAGCCCTCGCCGGCGCACACCTGATATCTATGGTCGGCCTGCAAAATTTGGGCTACCGATATCCATGCTGAAAATTCCATACTTGTACCAAAAATACAGTGTGGAATCAAGCTGTAAATCAATAAAAAAAAATACAGATATGTTAAAATATCCGTTTTCCTTTCTTTTAACTAGGCAGTCTAGAAATGATAGTTGAAAATGTTGTCGTCATTCTATTTCAAAAGTTCTCATCATCTGAAAACTACCGTAAATTACAATGGTCATAAAAACTGACAATAACATACTTCAAGGCTCGAGTGGTACTAGAGAAGATATTATAAAATTAATGTCCCCAAAAAGTAAGCATTACAATTTTTAGTTTAATTCAACATAAATTTATATGCTTTTAAAGTAGAAAAGGTGGAGATAGAAGAAGATAAAAGACGTAAAATCTAATAAACAGACTTCTTTATTACAGCTTGATTCCACACCGTATGTTTTAGTACAGGTATGGAATTTTCAGTATGTGATATCGGTAGCCCAAATTTTGCAGGCCGACCATAGATATCAGGTGTGCGTCGGCAGGGGGATCGAACCTCGGACCATGTGCATGGTCAGCGAGAGTCCTAACAACTGTGCCACCAACGCTTAGCTAATATGTTCACATAGCAACTCATGTGAAGGTTATGGTTCATAAGATTGAAATTTTTACTCAGCGAGTTGAAATCACCGATACGGATAACTGCTAAATCTGATCGAAATGGATTTACTCAGGGAGTGAGAGAATATTTACACTCTCTCCCTTTTTGAACAAGTTTTGTTTGAAACATTTCATCACAAATCCCTACAAACCAACACTTGAATATCAACGAGATGGGGTTCTGGTGAGAAGTCGTGACCAGTAGGGCGAAGCAGGTCGGGTGTGAGGACAAATACTTGGCAAAGACATTGGCTAAGGGTCGCGCTATTTCGTGAATTGGCAGAAGTTAGAATTCATGGGCTAGCCACTGGATCGGGTCCCAGTGGCCGGCTTAATGGTTTACGAGCTCACTCGCCTCGTAACCAGAAGGTCCTGGGTTCGAACCCTGGCGGTGAGTGCGTACTGGCGGAGAGCGCCGAACTAGGACGAAACAGCTGTCCAGTACTCCCAGGCTTTCCAATGGTTCTCTAATTAATGTCAGCTCATGATGAAATCCTGTAACCGATCAAATCCCTACAAACCAACACTTGAATAATCATAAGAAATTTACTATGCTCTTTAAAATTAATTTTTTGGGAAATTTGAAGATCTTGATGAAACGACTCGTATCCACAAGGTGTTTGGTAAATGAACTTTGTGAATATCTGGTTCCGTTTTGGGGATTAGGAATTGCTTAGAAAACTGGACAGAAGCCTTTCTTTCTGTCCCTCCGATGTACTTGCTCTAGTAAGTGCATGCAAATTTATCACCACATTTGGAGTTTGTATCAGCAGGGTAATTATCCAGTTTAGATTTGCCTTTAGAGCAAGTCACATTGTATAGTGTTATGAGCTTACACTTCAGATTATTGAATAGAATTGCTTATCCCGAGTCTGCTGTTAAACTCACTTGATTATAACGCTTTTGCATATTTCCAAAGAATTCGACACTGTTTTCTATACCTAAAAAGTAGCAAGATTGAGAAGCGTTGTCCAGTACATTGTCCAACTGTAAAACACTGTTTCTTTAAATCTCAGCAAAATAAAAATATTCAGGAATTGATTTACAGGGATTTGATTGGTCTTAGGATTTTATCATCAACCAATATCGCTTAGAGAACTATTGGAAAACTACCTGAGAGTACTGAACAGGCGACTGTTTCGTCTCAGTTCGAGAATCCTCAACGGTACGCACCCATCCTCATGATTCGAATCCAGGACCTTCTGGTTACAAGACCAGCTGGTAGACTACTAAGCCGACGAAACTCCATCTAGTAGTCTTTGAATTCCAACCTATGTCAATCCGTGATATACCGCGACCACTAACTAATATCATCGGTGAGTGTTTGTCCTCACACCCGGGCTAATATACCCCACTGATCACGACTTCTTACTAGAAGGCAGGTTACTACCTACCTGAATAGGGTCAGTCGGGTATTTCATATCTATTGATAGTGACCACAACACTTGGTGACACGACTTTGAATCTGATGGAAGACATAAGTTCTGGCAAGGCTGCAGATACTGTTTGCCGACTGGTGAGTGCCAGCAAGCGTGAAACTCAGTTTCAGAGCTTCCTGTCGGTCGCTTTCAATCATCGAATACCGATTCAGTGTATACCACAGTGGCGTGTAACCTAGTATGTTGATCACATAGCAAAGTTGGCTGATATAATTTAATAACAATGATAATTTGATGTAATTAATCATAAGTGGCTTTAGAGGTGAAAATTAAAAGTTGTAAATTACATGGTACTTGACGGAAAAAAGATAGAAGTTGGAAAAGGTTAAAATTGCTCTTGAGTGAGAATAAAGTTATTAGAGTGTCAATTTAACAAGTGTGAAGAAGGTGTGAAAATATATGAAATTGATAATAGTGAATTAATTATTAAAGCAAAAGCAAACTAAAAGTAAAATTAAAGATTAAGAACAAAATCAAAAATATTTTTTAACAGGGAAGGATAAGTGAAGAGGTTAAGACCAAGGTAGAATAAGAGACTGAACTCAGGCCACATAGCTCCACCAGAGTCGTCTTTCAACATCATCTACAAAGTGAAGCCAAATTGTACAAAAGGCGTCAGGTTCCGGCTTTTGTGTATGGCGGAGGCGCTGGCAATACATCAATACAACCCTGATCTCTGTATACAGAAAAAGTTTGTCCAGTCTCTTATTCTACCTTGGTCTTAACCTCTTCACTTATCCTTCCCTGTTAAAAAATATTTTTGATTTTGTTCTTAATCTTTAATTTTACTTTTAGTTTGCTTTTGCTTTAATAATTAATTCACTATTATCAATTTCATATATTTTCACACCTTCTTCACACTTGTTAAATTGACACTCTAATAACTTTATTCTCACTCAAGAGCAATTTTAACCTTTTCTAACTTCTATCTTTGTTCCGTCGAGTACCATGTAATTTACAACTTTTAATAATAATTTGCTTTATTTCAAAACAGTACTTGTGATACAGAATGGAATTCTCCGCTACCTGCCTGATTGACGAAAATAAACAAATTGGAATCTCAACTGCCTGTAGTCTTGAAAATGTGATTCTTTGGGATATTTCATTGGATGTTATTTAGAAATACAGTTCTGGTGTGGGTTTTCGCAATCTTATGCAACAACAATTTTTCAAATGAGCCTCATAATAACTAAACTAATGAATACTGGCCACAACATCAAAATATTACTTAAAACCGCAATCACTTGATCAAACATATTCGAGTTTGTGGCTTAAATCTTATTGTATTATACAGAGCTTATAATGTACGAAAGTAAGATAATACACATTCAATAAGTAAAGACTTTTTGTCAGCTTACCAACCTATAAAATAATGGGAATATTATTTTTAATTTATCACTCTTTTTTCGGTCATACTGATTATAGTAAGCAAACTTATGGTAGAAATAAATGCCTAACTGGCTATTATCTGTTTAGGTTGACCAATAAATTAGTGTTCGGGGGACCATTCAGAAACCGTTGAAAAAACTTCAGATATCATGCTGAAGCATTCACAAAATATAAACTTCAAATCTATTCATAGTTTTATTATCCTGCCTTAATTTTCATCCTGTTTGCTTTTCATTTAAAGAAGTACTTTGACGGTGTTGATAAAAGGATGAAAAGGGACCTAAATTGCATTTAATCATAATTTGTGGAATCTCAGTAAACTGGGAAAATATGCGTTCTAGCGAACCCTCACAGTTAGACTATGGGAAAAGACCTAAGATTTGTTAAACGTTTTATTTAAGTCGTCATTCAGGTTTCATTCTGCAAATGTAAGTCAATTACACACGTTCATACAGCAGACGAGCCTGAATATTAACTAGTCTAATTCATTCATATTTAGTTGATAGACAAATAGAATTAACGCTTAAATATTGTTTTGTGGTATTCACTTATCATTATTAATATTATTACCTCCTTTAGTTCCTAGAGGAATATAGGGCTTCAGTCGCACATCTTCATTGCGTTCGGTTCTCTGTCAACGTTTTCACCTGTCTGCACTTCTGCCCACATGCTTTCATCTCCTCTTCGCATCACCTCCTTCATGTCACCCTCGAACTGACGATCAACTCGCCACTTCCTATTCGAGCTCCACTCGAGCGATGGTCTTGCGTGTGATGTCACTCGGTGACTGTTTGTTTTCTGAAAGTATGGCCAATCCACCTGCATTTTTTCCTGCACATTTGTTTCACAATCGGTTCCTGCTGGGTTAGTTGGTTTGTTCATTGCCAGAGATCCCGGCCTGTCGCTGATCATTTCTTGACGGCCATCTGATCTCGAGTGGTGTTGAGCAAAGACAGCTTTTGATGAAAGTCTATATTTTGGTCGAAGTTTCCTTCGTAACGTGCTAGCCAATTCTCTGATCCGTGTAGTAAGTATCACTGAATTCACATTGGAATTGAAAATACGGATATTATTTTCATTTTCATGCTGAGTGATGTGGACCTCCACACAGACTTGAGAGTAATGGAAGCTTGACTTGCTAGGTAGTTAGGTGAAGGAGGTTGTTTCTTTCAGACTCCTCCCATTTATGCTGATTGTTGTCTGTTATTATTGCTGCTATAGGGCAGGAATCTTAATCACCTATATTTTCTTTATATGTACGTAGAAGACCCTAAATTACCCTTTTTTATGCTAACCTTAAGGAGATTTACCTACTGTCACATTATCTTGTTATTTACCCCCTACTAACCAACTAGTCATCCGCTCATCATCATCTTCAGGTAGCATGTCAGAAGTGGTTTTTGTGATACAACGAGTCCATGAACCAGCCCTTTAGAAGCAATAACTTGACATTCGTGTTGTGAATTAGGCTACTGTTCTTTAAAATGAGTGTTCTGAATCTTCACACCGATTTCAGGATAATTAATACCTTTATCGCTTGACTCAAAATCTCTATCCGTGTTGTTTGTAGTAATAATTACGGTACTTAGCCAGATGAGTGAGAAAAACAACTGCTTCCGAATATCTCCCATTTCTGTAGATTAAGAATTGCTGTTGTCGGTTTGATTTCTTCATCACTTCTGTCTTGCTTACATTCACGTGGATTCCTGTCTTTGTTACCTCTTCTGCCAACTTGTAAATGTTCTTCAAAGCATAGAAAAAAAATTACCTTTTAAACTAAGCCAGATACATATAAATGTCTATATTTCGTGTTTTGTATCATGAAAATTTATGTTCTATCATTTCCTTTAGCAAAAAAAGCATTCTCAAGTAGGTTGAATTCAGAGTTAAATCTAATTATGCCTTATTGCTAACTTTAATTATGACTTGATAATAATGTTTCTTTTACGAATATACACTTATAAGTTTCATCAAAGAACAGCAGACATCTGTGTAAGGATGATATTTGGCTAGTTTTACTGAAATTAAAGTGCTCATATATCCAAACTATCAGTAGCCAATCAGATCCGTAAGTACTTGCATAGAAAATCAAAACAAGTGATTCAGCGAAGAGACTCCTTTCAACGAATTTATCATCAAGCTGTACAATCATATATATATATATGGTTTCGTTAAGACATTATATCCGGTGAGGGAACTGAATCATAGGTCTGAATGAATACATAAAATAATAATAGTAGTATGAAATGCAATTGAAATGTTTGTGATTATAATCAAAGTTAAATGTCAAGTGGCAAAACAAATTAATGTCACATATATATAATAATTCCTAGGATGTATAGAACTTATAAGGGTTGTAAAATTATAGATAAGCAGGCAAACACATATAAAAATGAAAGCGTTACGTAACGTTGTGTGAAATTTGATAACATTGAATTTAACGTTGATTTAGAATGACAGGTGGGACGAGTGAAATAATACCGGGGACAGTTCAAAGTTAGAATAGTAATAGTAACAATTGACGTAATTAGTAGGAGACTTCAAACTGAATAGACAAAATGAAAAATTAGTAGAGCTAAAATATGATTAGGGATAACCATACTTTAGCATAGAGGTATTAAGACCATGAAAGTTAGAGGGGTTCAAAAGGACTTATTTTGTACACAGAGATTTGGCTTTTTTGTTTTGTTAGCCAAAGCTTCAGCAATACAAATGAGCCAGGTACGTAGGGATTTGAGTAAATTGCTCTTTGCCTTGTAGATGACTTTAAAGGTGGAGGCCATAGAGATATGGTGATCATTATCAACTAGATGTTCAATGATCGCGCTTCATTTTTTCATTTTGTCCATTCAGTTTGTATTCTCTTGCTTTATTACACCAAGTTTAACTATTACCATTCTCACTTTGAACTGTCCCCGGTATTATTTCACTCGTCCCACCTGTCATTCTAAATCAACGTTAAATTCAATGTTATCAAATTTCACACAACGTTACGTAACGCTTTCATTTTTATATGTGTTTGCCTGCTTATCCTATAATTTTACAACCCTTATAAGTTCTATACATCCTAGGAATTATTATATATATGACATTAATTTTTTTGCCACTTGACA